AACATTTATCCTCAATTAAGTATCATAATTTAGATGCGTTGTCATCCCAGAAGACCAAAATGGAATACCTCTTGCAATAAAAATTTTCTCCGGTTCTCTACACTCACAGTACGAAACAAAGCAGCATTAAGCTGCTTTGCACATTAAGCTGCTTTATACTATAAAAAATAAATGGCCAAATTCAATACAACAATTTGAAACATATCCAAAAATGTTATACCCATTGTAGACTTCGACAGACGACTTCACTTAGGACTAAGATGGAATGCCTCATAGTCTGTTGCTATACTGTATCTCTATATCCTTCATGTCGGGGCACAGCACTGCAGGCTATTTGGCTGTTTTGCTGCAGAAATAGGTAAGAGAGTAGTGCATATCCGGATGTACTCCAGAAAAGGGGCCCCACCTTCTTGTTATTGCTTTTGCCGGCCTTTTCAAAGGGCAGATTAGAAGGTGTTAGGACTTCTAATTCCTTTCATATTGCCGATTTTCCGGAGCAGCAGTAGTCCCATGCATTAGGTGGCATGCTAGTTTGTCCCTCTTATATAAAAATGCGTTCTTCAACTGCATTTACATATAGGTTAATTACGTAATTAGAGAATCTCTAAAAATTTCTAAGAATATTTCTTAAATAATATTCTAAGAATTGTGAAATGCATTTTATAATGGATAATGTATCTCCAAAAGTCCACTGCTGAACATAGATTATTCCACAGGGGAAATTCGCCACAGTTGTAACGCTTGGTTTCTAAAAAAAGTTTCTCTTTATCACATCTTACGACACTCACGGTAAGATTTAGGGTTGTGGATATTCCTATACCGATGCTACACGGTAATTTTGTTTATTTAACGTGTAGCGGTAATGTAACAATACTTTCTTTTATAAAAAAAATGTCATATTATATTTTATAAGAAATAGAACATCTTACAATTTGATTTCTTATATTTACGCGAACACTACACATTGAATAAAACTACTTTTTTTACGGATTTTATCGCGTTTAATTAACTTATTTTATATATACGACTTTTCGATCAGATCAAAATTAATAATTAAAAACCTGAAGGTACTCCGGGTTAACTCTAAAATCGGGACGTCAGTCACCTCACCACCTCCCCTCTGACCATGGTTGCTGGAAAGCAACCGAAACGTCGGGAAATATAAAATAAGTTAATTAAACGCGATAAAATCCGTAAAAAGTAGTTTTATTCAATATTACAATTTATGAAATTTATATGAAGTGTTTTTGAAATGTGGTAACCCTATTATCCACTTTTCTATCCATGTGAACAAAACACAATTTTGTGCAACATTTTGTAAGTTGTGCACAGTTGTTATTCTCATGCGAATATCGGCAGATGTGAACACTAGTAAGTGCACGTTATGCAATATTTTATTTAACTGGTTTTGGTTAATCAGTTTATTTTAAAGTAATTTCTTTTATCTTGCGATGACGTCACTAGAAAGATCATTGGCATGATCACATACTTAAAGAAAATTTAGTGGAAAAGGAATAGAATATCGTTTGAAGGAGATGAGCAGCTGCGACTTCCTGATAATAAGTGAAAATTATAATAACGTAAATTTATAAATAAGCGAAACAAAAAGATCTGATGGTATTCAAACGCCTAAACAGATTTTCTTGAAACATTGCTAAAACGCTCTCAATTAAGATACCTATCAAACAAAACAAACTTAATCAAAATCGGTTCATCCATTCAGGAACTATGATAAAACTGCAGTTGCCAACTCACCTGCGAAACGTAGCAACTTTTTTTAGCAATGCTATCAACTAATATTCATTCCCTTTAACGACTCCTAGCTTAAAATCCTTGTGATAGGAGTGGTTCACGACAGTAGAATTTTGCCAAACGAATTTAGGAAGGGTTTTTCAAAATTTTTTGAATTTTGAAAAACCCTTCCTATGAGGCATCTGTCTGATCTATCTAAAAAGTAGATTTTTATAGGCTATTGTGTATATGTGTGGCGGCGCTGTCGTCGCGCCACAAATGAAACACATCGAAGCCTAAATCGCGCTAACAAAATTCCGAAATTAAAGCAGTATAATATATAGAATAACTTCGAACTACCACTTGGAGGTTCCTCATTCCGCCTGTGGCACCGCTCTCGAGCGGTCGTGTCCAGGTAGTCCGCTCATCCGTCCCCGTACGGTAGTGCTCTCTCGCTCTCGCGCCTCCGCTGTCCTGCTCGCACTGTACAGTGCGACGCCTGGTGAGTCCTTTTACGCTAACTCCAGTTATTACCAACTAACTACCAACTCTCAGTAAAATTTTTGAAAAAATAATTTTGGATCAATTGTTAATTTTTTTTTATACAAATAAATTACTTCATAAAAATCAATTTGGTTTTACAAGGGGTCGCTCGACGTCTGACGCCGGTGTTGAGCTTATGAAATATATTTTTAATGCCTGGGAGAATTCACAAGATGCCTTAGGTATTTTCTGTGACCTTTCCAAGGCTTTCGATTGTGTTCATCATGATACATTAATCAGGAAACTACAACATTACGGTGTAAAAAATTTGGCGCTTAAACTTATTACTTCATATTTAAGTAACAGAACTCAAAAAGTCGTCAGTAATGGTAAATGTTCCTCCGGATCGGTAGTATCAATGGGCGTTCCTCAGGACTCGATTCTTGGCCCATTCCTGTTCTTAATCTATATTAATGACTTACCTTATCTTGTAGGGGACAATCACGATATAGTATTATTTGCTGACGATACCTCTTTAATTTTCAAACTGAAACGGCAGTCAATTAAATATGACGATGTAAATAATGCTCTATCGAACCTAGTACATTGGTTTAACGCCAACAATTTGCTCTTAAACGGCAATAAGACAAAATGTATTAAATTTACAATACCTAATGTAAAACATTCGAAAACCAATGTGCTCTTAAATGGGGAGGAGTTGAGTCTTGTGGATACCACTGTTTTTCTCGGTATTACTATTGACGCGAAACTTCAATGGGGCCCCCATATATCTAAATTAGCAAGCAGACTTAGTTCTGCAGCATATGCTGTAAGAAAGATTAGAAGTCTCACAGATGTTGAGACAGCTAGGTTAGTGTATTTTAGTTACTTTCATAGCGTAATGTCTTATGGAATTTTGCTATGGGGTAATGCGACTGATATTGAAGCTATATTTGTTTTGCAAAAGAGAGCCGTACGGGCGATTTATAATCTAAATTGTAAAGAGTCCCTTAGAGAAAAATTTAAAGAAATAAACATATTAACTTTGGCATCGCAATATATTTATGAAAATGTAATGTATGTACATAAAAACATAAATAGATTTAATAAGAATAAGGATGTTCATACCTTAAACACTAGGAACAAACATAAGCTTGTAATGCCACTTACAAGACACCACAGAGTTAGTAATTCATTTATGGGGCAATGTATACGCTTTTACAACAGAATCCCAGAACATGTTCAAAGTTTGTCAATAAACAAGTTTAAAAGTTTTATTAAAGAAAAACTGTACAAAAAGGGTTATTATAATATCAAGGAATACATGAATGAAAATAACCCCTGGGAATAAGGTGATCGCCACCACGCTGGTTCTATGAAAATTCATTTAAAATTGTATAAACAAAATTATTGTTAAGTGAAATTATGTTTAAAAAAAAAGTCCCGCTGGGTTTCTTGCTGGTTCTTCCCAGGACAGAGGTATTTTCCGAACCAGTGGTAAATAAAATAATGACTTTCAATAAGTATTATGTAATAATCCATATTTAATAAAAATCATTGTATTCTATTCTATTCTATCCTATTCTATTCTATTCTATTCTATTCTATTCTATTCTATTCTATTCTATTCTATTCTATTCTATTCTATTCTATTCTATTCTATTCTATTCTATTCTATTCTATTCTATTCTATTCTATTCTATTCTATTCTATTCTATTCTATTCTATTCTATTCTATTCTATTCTATTCTATTCTATTCTATTCTATTCTATTCTATTCTATTCTATTCTATTCTATTCTATTCTATTCTATTCTATTCTATTCTATTCTATTCTATTCTATTCTATTCTATTCTATTCTATTCTATTCTATTCTATTCTATTCTATTCTATTCTATTCTATTCTATTCTATTCTATTCTATTCTATTCTATTCTATTCTATTCTATTCTATTCTATTCTATTCTATTCTATTCTATTCTATTCTATTCTATTCTATTCTATTCTATTCTATTCTATTCTATTCTATTCTATTCTATTCTATTCTATTCTACCTCCCTGTCTCCGGGCGGAGCGGTTTGACTGTTAGTCTTGCTTTTTTATTGTCATTTTTGTTTTTGTGATTATTTTATTGTTATTAATTGTAACGTGTATATTGTTTCAAGGGAGTTACTTGCTCTTTTCAGAGCAAGGCCCTGTTCATTTGAGAACCAGGGCACAACTCCTCGAATAAGACCGTCCCGTTCTTTTCAGAACGGTGATCCCGCCCTTACTGTTTCTTAAGAATACGATCTGTTCTTCTCAGAACAGTGTCCCCCTGTCCCCTTAAGTAGATTCGTAAAATGTCCTCGCAGGAATTAATAGTCTCCCTGCAAAATGCCGTCTTTAGGTTGCATAAAGACCCGGAGGCTCTTAAAGCAGCCATCACAGCCCTTTTGGCTCCTCCCACCGTTCAGGCACCGCCGCCCGTTATAGCGGCCTACCTCGAGTCCCGGAACTCGTTCGCGTCCCTTGAGATCGACATGGAGTGCTCCAACTCCGACTCAGAATCCACACTCCGGGGCTCTGGTTCTACGGAGTCGTCTGACTCAGATGGATCCGAAGAATCAGAGTTCACGACAGTGTCTTCCAAGCGTCGTAAACGCGCCGCGAAAAATCTCACCGTTTCGGCGGCCTCTGCCGCCCCCGCAAACCCCGCAGCCCCCGTAGCTGCCTCAGTGTAGCGATTAGGTATTCTTAACGGCACTATGACTTAGGTAGTATGGTGAACAAAGAAAGTCCAAAGTTCAGTATAAGTCAGCTATAATGATTTAAATTAGAATTTACATTTAACACATAAAACAAGCCAAAAAAATACTACACTGGATACAAACAAAAAGAACAAGAGTAAAAGGGCGGAAACTAACAAAACAATACGGGAATTAAACTATCGTAAGTATAGAAAAATGCAAGGCGATCGAACGTGCGTCTACTCCGGAATCTCTGAGCGAGTGAAGGGCACCTTGGCGTGATGAGAGTATGGTTAATGTCACGGACGTAAATTCCGAAGGTTGCCGAAGTATTCCGATGGCCGTGTGCGCGCGCGAAGTGGCTTTGTCCATTGTTGGTATCCCACAGTACTCCCCCGCCGAGACCGTGGCTACGGTCGATAGTAATCAGGAAAATGAACTTTTCTTCCACTCTTAGTAATCCTTTCCTTCGTTTTTTGGTCGTTATGGATGCATGTTGGAAGAGGAGGTGATGAAGATGTAGCAACCGAAGTATTTGTGGGTCCATCTGTAACATACGCAGGTTTTAGACGATCAATACTGACGCTGACCGCTTTATTTCGCACGGGCACTTTATAAAACTTCGGGTGCCTGCCTAAAACTTGATACGGGCCCGCATATGGAGGCTCTAGTGATTTTCGTACATGGTCCTGACGCAGGAATACATGACTGCAATCTGTTAGATTTTTGGGTATATAAAATGGACCATTTCTATGCCACTTAGCTGGTTTTGGCGTCAGCTTAGCCATATGTGAGCGTAGACGGGCGGCGAAGGTGGTGAAATCTTCAGTGCAGTGGTTTTCTTTAGGGCTCATGAACTCGCCAGGAAGGTGAAGAGGTTCGCCATACACCAGTTCAGCAGACGAAGCTTGAATATCTTCTTTCCAAGAGCTGCGAATACCAAGAAGAACAAGCGGAAGTACCTCAGTCCATTGTGTAGAGTTGTGGCACATAATGGCAGCTTTCAGCTGGCGATGTACGCGCTCCACCATTCCATTAGCAGAAGGGTGGTAGGCAGTTGTGCAGAAATGACAAGCACCAACCATGGATGCGATTGCCTTAAATAAGCTGGAATCGAACTGGCGTCCTCTGTCCGTTGTAATTCGAGCAGGGCAGCCGAATCTGGATATCCACCCAGATACCAGAGCGGAGGCACAGGATTCTGCTGTGATGTCTTTCAGGGGAATCGCCTCAGGCCATCGTGTAAATCTATCGATGATAGTGAGGCAATATCTGAAATCATAAGAGAGAGTTAGAGGCCCTATAATATCGAGATGTATATGAGAGAATCTCGATGAAGGCGTAGGAAAAGAGGAAAGGGGAGCGGAAGTGTGACGGGTAATCTTGCTTCGTTGGCAATCAAGGCAATGCCTAGCCCACTCTCTACAGTCTCTACGAATGCCGGGCTAGACAAACCTATCAGTGACAAGACGTACTGTAGCTGAACTTCCTGGGTGACTTAATCCATGAAGCATATCGAACACTTGCCTTCTAAATGCTTTTGTAATGAAAGGTCTTGGCTGCTGTACAGATACGTCACAGTATACTTTAAGGTTTGCTCCTATTGGTTCGATTTTCTGTAGGTTTAATGATGAACCGTTTTGCAGCAGATGTTGCAGTTCAGGGTCTTTATCTTGAGATCGTGCAAGAGCCTGGTAATCTAAAGATATTTTAATTTCTTCTACCCGTGAAAGCGTATCAGCTACTACATTATCTGGTCCCGGAATGTAGCGAATGTCTGTGGTATACTGTGCAATAAAATCTAGGTAGCGATAGCGTCGCGGAGGACATTTATCTCTTGCAGTAGAGAAAGCATAGGTAAGAGGCTTATGATCTGTGTACACACTGAAGACTCTAGCCTCTACCATGTGTAAGAAATATTTGATTGCTTCGTAAATCACTAGAAGCTCCCGGTCATAAGGGCTATATTTTTTTTGTGCGGAATTCAGCTTTTTCGAAAAGAAACCTAAGGGTTCCCATTCAGTGCCCTTGCGTTGTTGCAGCAAAGCACCGATGGACACATCTGAAGCGTCGGTGTGAATTGAGAGCTCGGCCGATGAATTAGGATGTACTAAAAGTGTAGTATTAGAAAGAGCATTTTTGCATTTTTTAAATGCTTTCAAAAGATCTGGTGTCATACTAATGGGATGAGATCCTTTCACTTTAGGTCCCGCTAAGACGGCGTTTAACGGTGCTTGTATCCTAGCTGCATTTGGTATGAAACGTCTATAAAAATTGATCATACCTAAGAATCTGCGGAGTTCCTTTACAGTGCGTGGTATGGGAAATTCTTGTATAGTTTGTACTTTTGTATTTAGCGGTAAGATGCCGGCTGCAGACACATGGTATCCAAGGAATGTCACCTCGTGTTGTCCCCACACGCACTTCGTCGTATTGATCAACACGCCGTAAGCTTTTAACCTCTCAAAGAGCTGAAGTAAGTGGCGTTTATGTATTTCAGGGGAAGGTGAAAAAACCAGAATATCGTCGAGGTATCCGAAGCAAAAATCGTCAAGACCAGAGAGCACTTCATCAATGAATCTCTGAAAAGTTTGCGCTGCGTTTCGCAAACCATAATTCATGAAAGGGTATTCATAAAGCCCGAATGGTGTAGTTATGGCAGTCTTTGGTATATCCGAAGGATTTACAGGAATTTGGTTGTATGCCTTCACTAAATCAATCTTAGAAAATATAGTGGATCCAGAAAGTTGGTAAGAAAAATCTTGTATGTGACCAATGGGATATCTGTCAGGGATAGTCCTTGCATTAAGTGATCTGTAGTCCCCGCACGGCCTCCATCCGTCATCTTTTTTCTTTACAAGATGTAAAGCTGATGACCAAGGACTCTCAGAACGCCTTACAATGCCTTGTGCCAACATATCTTCAAACTCTTTTCGAGCAATTTTCATGCGTACTGGGTCTAAACGCCGAGGCCTACAGGTTACTGGCGGTCCCGGTATAGTTCTTATAAAGTGTTTTGTATTATGCTTAGGTGTAGTTACAGTACCTGCAGGTCGGGTGATCTCCGGGAAGTTATGTAACAGCTGTTGAAACTCGTTGTCACCAGAGATGGTTTTGATTGAGATGACATCCTCTGGGACTCTCTGGCGTTGTGCGGATACACAAAGGGTAGTTGTGCCATCTATTAGTCGCTGACTCCGGCAATCTACAAGCAGATTATAAAAACCTAAGAAATCCACTCCTATAATGGGTTTCGTAATATTGGCAATAGTGAAATTCCATGTAAAAGTACGTCTGAGTCCAAGGTCCAGCTGTAGCTGTATAACTCCATAAGTATTTATGACTGTACCATTCGCAGCAATCAAACTGTACTTTGTAGGGGTACACGGCGTCTTAATAGCTGACCGTGGGAATACACAAAGGTCTGACCCAGTATCCACGAGGAAAAGCATTTTAGAAACACGGTCAGTAATAAATAGACGGCCTGTGTTAGCTGGGCAATCGTTGGCCGCTACTGCCGACTGCCCGTTGAGTTTTCCGCCTCCCAATTACAAGGTGCTAAGCATTTTCTGGCACGCGTACCATATGTAAAATGATACCAGCAGTGAGGATGATTTGGAGGTGTCTGTGGTGGTCGCGTTTTAGAATAATTGCGCTTACCTTTGACCCTAGATTTAGATCGAGATCTTGAGCGATATCGGGGATACTTATTTACCTGTGTTGTAGTAAGTTTCGCTACTTGCTTAGTCAATTCACTTATCTGTTGAACCATTGCCTCGAAGGAAGAAGTAGTAATACCCGAAGATGAAGTGCTGGCGACTTGTCCTAGTGTGGTTGGCGCAATCTCGTGGACCTTATCTGCCAAATCTGCCAACTTATCTAATGGCAAATCAGACTGTGATGCTATTATTGTTTGTAAATTTCCTGGTAAACGGCTTGACCACAGGGTTTTCAAAAAATCATTAGGAACTGCGGGTCCGGCAAGATGTTGTAAGTGTCTTAGAAACTGAGATGGCTTTCGATCGCCCAACTCCTCGTGCATGAGAAGTTGTTTAACCTTACGCTCCTGGGACGCAGAAAGACGCTTAATAAGTTCCGTTTTTAACTTTTCATACTTGTTTGTTGACGGCGGTGAAGTAATAATATCCTTTACCTCTGTTGCATACCGGTGGTCAAGTTGTGCAATAACGTGGTAGAATTTTGTTGTATCAGACGTCACATTTGATAAAATAAACTGGCCTTCCATTTGGGCAAACCATAAACCTGGTTCCTCAGGCCAAAAAGGCGGAGGTCGCACACTAACTCTGCAGGATTCTCCAGCAGCTGCATCTTGGAATTTATCATCCGTTGCCATCGTCGTGGTCACCAATGTAGCGATTAGGTATTCTTAACGGCACTATGACTTAGGTAGTATGGTGAACAAAGAAAGTCCAAAGTTCAGTATAAGTCAGCTATAATGATTTAAATTAGAATTTACATTTAACACATAAAACAAGCCAAAAAAATACTACACTGGATACAAACAAAAAGAACAAGAGTAAAAGGGCGGAAACTAACAAAACAATACGGGAATTAAACTATCGTAAGTATAGAAAAATGCAAGGCGATCGAACGTGCGTCTACTCCGGAATCTCTGAGCGAGTGAAGGGCACCTTGGCGTGATGAGAGTATGGTTAATGTCACGGACGTAAATTCCGAAGGTTGCCGAAGTATTCCGATGGCCGTGTGCGCGCGCGAAGTGGCTTTGTCCATTGTTGGTATCCCACATCAGTCCCCGCAGCTCCCGCTGCAGTTTCCGTGACACCACTGCCCAAGCCAGCCTCCCGCTGTGCTTCTAACCCGACTAAGAAGCAAGTCCCGCCCCCTGTCTTCTTACGAGACAAGGCTCAGTTCACCCGCCTCTCCAAAGCCTGCTACGACGCAGGAATAAAATACGACCAAGCCACCAACCTCGGGGAGGCTATTAAAATCATCCCCCAATCTGTCGACGACTTCCGTCGTCTCACCAGGCTCTTCACAGCCGAACAAGTCTCTTATCACACGTACGCTCTTCCGGAAGAGCGCAAAATCAGGGCCGTCATCCGAGGCGTCCCTTTTGAAATTTCCAACGAGGAAATCCTTGAGGACCTTAAGTCCCAAGGATTCCCGGTTGAGGCTGTGCATAAAATGCACAGCAGAACGGGCTTGAGGTTCCCCCTCGCTCTCGTTATTCTTGCAAACGCTCCGGAGGCACAGACTATCTTCCGGCAGTTACGCACAGTGTGTGGGCTGTCGGGAGTTAGGGCTAAGCTCCCACATAGGCGCGGCTACCCGGCGCAGTGCCACCGCTGCCAGTTATATAGTCATGCGGCGGCCAACTGCTCCGCCCGACCCAGGTGCGTTAAGTGCCTCGACCCCCGACAGCCCGAAAGAGTGTCCCCGGCCCAAAAATGCCGAATCCCCACCCACGTGCGTCCTGTGTAAACAAACAGGCCACCCGGCTAACTACAGAGGCTGCCCTTGCGCACCTCACCCCCGCCCCATTAGGCACGCTCCACCGCCGGTTAATGCTAAGTTATTCCCGGCCCTCCCGTCAAGATTGCCACCTAAGAGCTACTTTCGACCATCTCAGGTGGACCCAAGGCCCTCCCGGGTCCCTCCCCCTCTTCTTCGCCCACCTCCGGGCTTCTCGCAACCATTGCAGCCTCCAGTCTTTCCCTGGGGTCCCAAAAAGACCGACCCTCCGCGGTCGTCCCCCGCTGCACAGCAAACACAACCCTCAATGGTTGATGATCTAAATACGGTGTACGCCGCTATTAAGAACATTAACATTGGGGGGATCACCGTCTTAGCACGCAAATTGCGCGCTGCCAAGTCCCCTCAGGACCGACTCCTTGCTCTTACAGAGCATCATAATCTTTTAAGTACGTTATAAATTTATTTTAATCATTTCACCGTAAGGACAATATACGTCGGGTTAAAATTGCCTTCGTAGGCACTCACTAATTAAAACTCTCTGAAACTTCTTCAAAGTCTCAGAGTTTCACTAAACATACTTATTCGTGAGGTAGCTAAGTGTGCAACCCCACTCCCTCTCGCTATCGCATCCGCAGGCCGAGGAACTCCCACTCGAAGTCGCCTGATAAACTGTCAAACGACTTGAACTGCCTCCTGGTGGCTCAGTCAATTTCATAATTAAACTTTCATAAATAATTAAATTTTTTACAATCAAATTGCCTTCGTAGGCACTTCCTCAGCGGCTTGTAGCCGCCTGCACCCTCTTGTCCCAAAAGAGGGTCGCTTCCGATACGGCATATGAAGCTTTAAACAGCTGTTTGCCAGTCCCCAAAGGCGGTTTTTAGGGGGTATCACATAGGCTACCCGTTTAGGCGTGAGTCCCCCATAACCACGATGGATAGCCATCGTGGTATGCGTAATGCATTTTCCGCCTCCCGTAAAGGGTAGCCCTTTTCCAAATTGCTTCGGGCGCAAAAAAAAAACCACTTGGAGGGTTGGCCGCTCCCCGGGCAGAACACCTTGCACGGCGGGAGATCTCCCCTTTTCCTTCCACCGGTTACTTACGAATTATTATTTTTATAGGTGAATGGATGAATACCGTTTCAAGCCATTGTTTGTTTCATTCTGTAAAGTAATAGCGTGTAAGGGAGTTGTCGTCCGAGCGTCGAGTAATAGACACCTGTAATTCTGTTTTTTAAAGTTATTAGTTCATTTCAAGCAAAATTCTTAGTTATTAAGCATTAATTCTTCTTTTACTGTGTTTAATTATCGTGGAGTTAACAATGTGTGAAATTCTAGTTCAATCAGTGTTCTCTGTCTGAAGATATTTAGCAAAAACTTTTAAAAATTATGTGTTAAACGGTTGTTGTTAACCTTGTTTAGTAATCGGAGCGTGCGAGTGCTGTTGTACTTCACATATAAAAACATTAGTTCGTTGACCTCATTTGCTACAGATCGTCGCTAACGTAAATATTAGTAACTAATTTCGCCACCTAACATAACATAGACTGTAGCGCAGCAACAGAGCACGTGACATTAAGCTGAGCGTCGTGGGTTCAAATCCAAAACTGAGATATCTTTTAAATTATTTTTTTTTGGGTTTATTTAGTTTTTTTTTTGTAAACAATTTTTATCATTAAATCATGGCTAACTTTGAATGTGCTGGGTGCCCTAACGCACTGGATAACACCATATCATTGCAATGTCACCGATGCAATGACAAATATCATGTAGCATGCACGCGAATCACAATGCAAGATTTTAATGTGATGAGCTCGGAAATGAAAAGTTTATGGATATGTGACGTTTGCAGGTGTAAACAACCAAGAGGTGATTATTCCAACACTCCAGTTCGAAAGTCACCGGTGGAAATGGAATTCGTAACTCAACGTGTAAAAAGTCGTTCTAATTGCTCTTGTTTATCGGCTAGTAATATACGTGAAATAATTAGAGAGGAATTGCGCAACATTTTTAGTAACGACTTACACCCTAAAATTCATGAAATAAAAAATACACTTGCCTCATTTGAAACTTCTTTGTCGTCATTAAACCAAGATATAGATAAAGTTAAATCCGATCATGCTAACCAATCTGCACAAATGCAACATATTACTAAGGAGAACGAAACTTTGCGTGCAGCTAACAAGAGTATCATAACTCGTCTTACGCAACTTGAGCAGCAGACACGAGCTTCAAATATTGAGATCCAATAAGTTTCAGAGAATAGACAAGAGAATTTTGTTAACACAGTACAACAACTAGGCAATATCATAAAATTCCCTATAGCCCCAGAAAATATACATTTTTGTGCAAGAATAGCGAAAATGAATACTAAAAGTCCTCGACCGAGATCGATATTAGTAAAGTTCAGTAGTCCTAGACTACGTGACGATTTTTTAGCAGCCACCATTAAATATAATAAAACAAATAGTACGGATAAGCTTAACACTAGCCATTTGGGAATCGCAAGCGCGAAGAATACTCCAATATACGTTGCTGAAAATCTTACGCCAGAGGGAAAAATCTTACATATTGCAGCTCGCCGTAAGGCGAAAGAGCTCGGTTTCCGTTTTGTTTGGGTTCGTGATGGAAAGATTTTTGTTAGAAAATCTGAAGGATCAAACTACATTCATATACGAAATCATGATACTGTGAATAATTTGTCATAGAGTGGCGCTAAATTCGCTAAATTGTTTTTTTTTTTATTACTTAAAGGCACTTTACAGAATAAAATTTCTATTTACTACCAAAATGTTCGAGGTCTAAGATCAAAAACAATTGATCTATTTAATAACATAGTCTGTAATTCATACGATATTGTAATTATGACGGAAACTTGGTTAAATGGGAGTGTTTTCGATACTGAAATTTCTGATGATCGTTATAATGTTTATAGACGTGATCGGGAAAGTAGTGGTTTTCACGCTTCAAAGAATGGCGGGGGTGTACTTATAGCTGTATCTAAGCAAATAAATTCGGAGCGGCTCTTTAATTTCGAGTCCAAGTGCGAGGATCTTTGGGTTTGCGTAGAAGTAGAAAACGTCCAAGGCAAGTCTGAAAGACTTTATATATGTGCTGTGTATATTCCCCCACCCGTCCAAAAACACATTTTCGAACATTTTATTAATAACTCGAGTCGAGTATTGGAATCACTCGATGAAAATATAATTGTTGCTGGAGATTTTAATCTAAGTAGTATAACATGGTCTTTAGAGCCCCACGGGCATCTTTGTGCAAAATACTCCAACAGCTATCTACAGAATCTCTTAACAGACTTTCTCTCGTGCAATGAATTGAACCAATTTAATCAAATTAAGAACTCTAAAAATAAAATGCTCGATCTTGTCTTGTCTAATATTAACATTGTTGATATTCTGTCATGTCCTGATCCTTTGACATGTGTTGATCCCCTTCATCCGCCATTAGTTTTTTCAATAGATTTTACAGATCCGGCACCACTAGTCCCTAATAACACAATTACAAAATTTTGCTTCCACAAGGCTGATTATGAAAATATAAGGAAGGATCTAAATGAAATTGACTGGAGGGAAATTTTGGGTGAATGTCTTTGTGTTGATGATATGGTTGCAGTATTTGACATGCCATATATGACATAATTCGTAAGTTAATACGTAAATATGTACCTAAGGCTAAACTGCGTAGTCATAAATACCCAGTTTAGTTTACTCCGTGTCTGATAAAATGTATTAAAGAAAAATATAAATATAGGATGAAAGTTCGCAAATATAACAATCCTCGCGATAACTCTCTTTTGACTTACTGAAAAGAAGATGTGAGGAGATGCTAGCATACTCCAACGCTAAGTATAGAGAACGCCTTGAACTCTCTTTAAAGTCAAACCCAAAATTGATTTGGTCATTCCTAAAACAAAAGAAAGGTAAAAGTTCGTATCCTTCTAAAATTAAAGACGGTAATAAATTTGTTTCTAATGGAAGAGACATTTGTAATGTTTTTGTAAGTCATTTTTCGTCAGAATACAGTCGCAATAATAATATTCAAAACTTCGATACTAGTCCTAATCTTATGAACCCTTGTTGCAATGTGTACCTTGATTATATATCTTATACAGTGGACCAGGCTTACAATGTTTTAAAAAGACTTGACTTTAGGAAAGGAGCTGGAGCAG